TTATGGTGTTTAGCACTGCACTCATCTGCTTCTGAAGATCAAGGTATTTATTTTTGAGATTGCCGTCATGTTGATTCCTTAAGCTTTATCTGTGTACCTTTTGGCAATTTATTTGAGTGGGGGCTAGTTACATTTTTTTAAAAAAGAAGAAGAAAACTTCACATTATCACATTATATGTGACTAGGTTCTCATTTCCCCCAGTTACAACAGAATACCTTTATTTTTTTATTTTTTTATTTTTTATGTTAAAGTTGTAGGGTACAATTCAGGGTTAGATACATAAATGGTCATTATGTAGGTAAAGTTTGGGCCTCACTTTGGTTCCTACTTCACCTGGTTTGAGATCAGGTATCTTTATTGATGAGATGTGCCTGCCCCGCTCCCTGCAGCAGAATACCTTTAAAACAAGCATTAAAATAAACATGGGAGCCAGAGGGCTGGTTGAGGAGAAAGTAGCTGCATGTACCTACGAGGCGAGGCCCTTCTTTTTTTTGGCACATGGTGGCATAATGGCCCTTTGGCTTCCTCAACACATATGTCTTTCTCTGGCTAAAGTGACAGTACATTCTAGGAGAAGCATGAGTGTTATAATCATATACCATGCATTGTAGAACCTTCCAGTAAAACCTTTGCACATCTGTGCTTCTAGCTTCAGCCAGAGCTTTACAATGTGGCACACAGGGTCTAGGAAGCACAGACTGATCATGGGGTCAGCTTGGATAAAGCACTTGAATCTCCCTCTGCCTTATTCAGCCTTCTGAACGGCTGAATAAGATTGTCTGTTAAATCTCCTTCAGCTCTCAGTATTTTTCTATCGCTCTTTCTGAATTAGCATATCCAGTATCTTCCTTCTCTTTCTTCCTTTTTATCTACCATCATCTATTTATTGTTCCCAAATATTTCTGAGTTTGTGCCAGAAGTAGTTTTACGCTAATAAAGTTTAAACTTCAGGGACCCTCCCTGGACTGCTTCTAAATTAAAAAAAAAAAAAAATTCAATTTCAAATATCAAATTTTATATTTTAATGCTATGTTCTTTCTCTTAAAGAGAGTTCTCAGATTTGTGTATGCTTTAAGCCCCCCCAAAAAATCAATATTTGGGCTACCCCCTTGGGTCCCCTCCCATTGTGGGAGCTTTTCCGTCCTCTCAATAAATCCTGCTTTCTAAAAAAAAAAAAAAAAATCAGTATTAGCCATTTGGTGGGTTAGGAAAAAGACAAATACAAATAAGAGCATCAAAATAGGAATTTAAATGAAAGATCTGAGAAAAGGAATAGAAAGAAAATAGGCCAGACATTAAATGCTAAACAGTTTCCCTAGGTGAACATCCAGCTGAGCTCTGAGTCTTTGACTTTTATGGAAGGCAGAGTGGTAAGGGGAAATTATACATTGTATAGCTCTTGCCATCATAATAGAATAAGTGTTCAAAGACAATATTTATCATCAATATTAATAATTAATATTCATTCATCCTGACCTCTGAGAAATGCCTCAGTGGAACGTTATACAGAAGACAAAATCATACTTTGACCCAAAGTGGTATTTTCACAATGATGGAAACTTTCATGGAAACAAGTAATAAATTTTTGCTCAAATATACATTGAGCAACTCATGTTATCAAACATTGTCCCAGGCAGATATATACAACAGATGCAGAAAGGAACAAGACACAGTACCTGTCCACTCAGAGCTGCCAGGCAAGCACGTAAACAGTTGCAAAAATAGGTTGATGAGTTGATTATGGAGGTCCATACAAAAGGTGTGGGGTCACAAAGGAGACAGAAGCTAACTCACATCAGGGATGTGGAGAAAGAGGGAAAGAAATGACTTCTGAGCTCAGTTTTAAAGGTAAGAATACTCTTCACATAATAGTTATTACTTCACAGGGGCATGTTTAAAAGCTGCCAGCATGTGCCTAGACAATGTTTCTGAGCACAGTCTGACTCTCTTTCCCAAGGCTTATGGGCACATTTGTAAGATGGAATTCCATTCACTGATTCATTCCTTGCAGATAGCAAAGATACCCTACCTTTCAGGAAATGAATTGCTGCAATTCATTCTCAGCCTTCCTGTCTCATTTTTCCTTGAGTGTCTGAAGAATTTCTCTTGGCTTACCTGTAGCTTTTTTAATGGATGTGATGGGTTTACTCAATTTCTCTAGTCATCTGCAGAGAACCAAAAACAAGCTATTTGGTCATTAAAATAAGCATTAGGGGAAAAATAACATTTGAAAATGTAATAACGGACATCCCTTGGCGTTCAGTTATTTTCAACTTAAAAAGTCTTTATTCAAATGAGCAGTTTAAAAATCTTTTCTAATTCCCATTTTACAGCAGTGGAATAGACACTGACTCATCTGGCCAAGCCTCAAAAAATTGTAAGCACAAAATGAGGAAGAGCCTGAATTTTAAGCATCCAGTGTTAGGTAATAGAAAACATTTTCATGAGGAAAATAGAATCTCATAATAGCCTTGCTCGGTGAGGTTTGTATAGTTGGAATGAACATTGCTATCCTGCGCTGGTATCCCCGAAGGAATGGAAAGATTTCTGCATCTTTCTAAAGTATTCAACTGCAGCAAAGATTGCATCAAACGGCCTTGTGGGTTTGTTCACCATTGTGTTGCAACATGCACCCTGAGAACTTCGCATTGTATTATGCATGGCCCTCTAACTCCACATGAGTTTGAAAACACAGGAGAAGTCTCTTCCTGCCATCCTAACTTCCATTCTCTTTGACGGATTACAACAGGCAAACGATTCCTTGCAACGGAGCAGGATTTTCGATCGTGGGGAAATTTGGAACTTCTGCAATTGATACTAAAATTATGATGCCACCATCATACTGCACTCAACAGGGGATTTGAAAAAGAAAAAAAAAAAAAAGATTCAGTACCAAGTCACTGTCACGCTGCAGCAAAGCTAGTCTACTGAAGTGTTGGGTCAAGAATTCAGCAATCCTTTGCAGAAATCACATTCAGCCTGAACTTCAGTTCGTAGGATGTGGTTAAAACATGGGAATGGACATTTTGATTTCCAGTTTGGGTAGATTGGTAATTAAGCTGAAGCACGACAAATTCTGAGCATTTAAAATCAAGAAATTTATAATGTTTCTAATCACTGAAAATAAGATTTCATTTCTTCAAAGTTTAAAAAAAGCCATAGCCTCAATTCATATGCTCCCCTCCCTACTAAGAAATAGGAAAATAGTTCTGAGTTTTGAAGACTACAGAGCTGCAAATCTCTGAGCAAGGTACAATGATTAGTTAAAATAAACAGAGGGTTGTTGTTCAAAGATAAACACTAAAATAGAAACGTAATGATTCTTGCAGTTACCACCTGTTACTATACTTCAGAGATGTGGAGAGCAAGTCTGAACAAGTCATTAACAGCTATCATTTATGTACCATGCGTCAGACATTTTTTAGAGATCATCTAAGTCAATCCTCAGGGCAGCCCAATGCAGTAGATCTTATCAGCCCATCTGAAGATGAGGGAACAGAAACAGAAGTGAGAGGACTTGCCTAAAATCACCCACCTAGTCAGTAGTCAAGCAGACCTTTCACTCAGGTCTGTTTGATTCCCATCTCATGCTCTCATCCACACCGCTCCCCAAATTTAGTGGTGAGGATGTAAGTCTTTGACTTTTAATTAGTACCATCTAGCAATCATGGTGATGCCTGAGAGGCCGGCTGAAATAATAAGAGGAATCATAGCAAAGACAGACACAGCACATACTACCAGTCAGGTGAAACTCTGAGCACTGACACTTGCATCTGTAGGTTTATGCCATCCTTGCAAGCAACCACCCGAAGAGATAGAAAACTGAACTACTGAGGGCATAAACTACTTGCTCCAAGGTCACACAGTCAGTGAAAATTTGGGAGTTGGAGTCAAACTTCAAACTCAGACAGCCTGGCTCCTGAACCCTTGCTCTGGGTCACAGCACGCTATTGTTCAGCTAGGAGTTTTCATCTGGATACAGACTAAATTCCTGTTCACAGTTATACCAAGCCCAGTCACATTCTGAAATGGGTCTACCACCTTAACAGAACTTGTGGATTAAAGTGAAAGCTGAAAAATCGATGAAGCCCATGATCAATATGAACAACATAATGTATTCTTGAATCATCCTGTTCAATTAAGTTTCTATTACAGAGTTTAAACCACATATCTGACAAGTAAAAGAGGAATAAAAATAATGGTTATATGAAATTAATCAAATGAAGTGTCAAGTGATTTTCAATAGCTAACACACATATCTCATAACACATTTAAAAGGATCTATTGCATATGTGAATATATTTGCACCAGTCCCCAAGGTGTATATGTGTACTCTGTGCCCAGAACATAGCCTAGTCATAGCCTAGTTTAATACCTATTTTGAACCACAAACAAATGCTCATTGAGCTTATAGGCAAGCAGAAAATGTTGGATGTCACAGGGCTTCCTTGGATTGACTGTTGAAATTGAGCCTTAACTTCCCAACTCTGATGATCCCAGGAGTTCTAGAATGAAAGCAAAATGGTTTCAATGACTGGAGATATATGCAAGGGTGCCAAAAAAAAATGTATACACATTTTAAGTATGATGTTCGCTCAAAAGATGGCATTAGTCAAATGAATGCTAGTGTCACCATGTGACAAACAGGACAGTCAAAGAAAATGGCAGAAGCACGGTTAAACAAACATCATATTGCACATTGCTACCCTAATTTAATTCAACTTTGAAAAGTAATATATGGATAGCATCTCTTAAAATGTGTATACATTTTTGGCACCCGTGTGTGTGTGTGGGTGTGTGCGTATATGTGTGTGTGTGAGTGTGTGACATACACACATACACACATATTTTTATATACATATATACATTTTTTCTGTGTTAATTTTCTAATGGTCTGCATGTTATCAAGCATCAAGCTTCTACTATTTTGTATCATGTTAACGATGTCACATACTAATAAATAGCTAACAGTTTTTCTTTATTTTTTCTTTCTCTCCAGGTATCCCCAGTATTTCCAGTATTGGTAGTAAGTAAAAAAAATCACCAAACAAAGTCTAGACTAGCTTTGCCTTGTTGTTCAGCACCTCAGATCTATTTTCCCAGTGTCCATTTCTGATGTAATAGAGAATTTTCTTTGTGAATTGCATTTTTTGTGTTGACTTTCTGCACAGACACGATAGGAGCACAGAGAAAAATCATTATTTATGCCTAACTCTTCCCACAGCTTTCTGACCACTCTTGACCAATGAAAACCACTTGCACTCAGTGGCCTTATTTAGATAACCATAACCCATTTAGCAAAAATATAAGTAGTTTTATGCACCCATACTTGGTAACCAACCAACAAATTGAGCTCTCTCTAGGGCTAGATGTGGATTTCTAACACAATTTAGAAAAGCAGAGAATGAATGTCAATGTATGCCTTCATCATACATTGTTCATCAGAACCCAAAGAAAAGGCCATGCACCCGGGAAGTAGGGATTTTGTCAATGCATTAAGGTCTAGGCTTTGTGAAGGCCTGAAAGAGGCACATTTGTGATCACTTGTCTTTCTGGAGGAATGAAGGAAAAAGTGTCTGTCCATTTCTCCCTCCTAAAATACAGTAACCTATGGCTTCTTGATTACTTGGGTTTAAGTTTGATAGAGAAGAGATTTTTTTTTTTAATGTACAGAATTTGAGAGTCAGAGTATTAGAAATCCCTGCAAGAAATATTTTAGTAAAAATCTAGGCAATTGGAGGAAATCTGTCTTCCAGCCTCTGTGGAACATTTGTCCAATATCACAGCAAAGAACATTCTCCCAGCTCTCATGGGAGAATGAGGCTGTAGCTTGCTCTTCACATATAAAGCAATGACACTCTAACACCCAGCATGAAATGTTTTCTAAGTGTTCGATAACTTTTCCAAGAGGGAATTTTACATATTTTTATATATTGCATCCTTTATCTCTGATGGTTAGAACCTTGGAACAACTGCTAAAGAACTGATTAGAAAAAAAGGGCCAAGGAAGCCAAGATGATGCACCATAAGTTAAGAGAATTTTCACTGGAGTGTCACCGCTTACAGACTTGTGTCATAGATTCTGTGCCAGACAGAGTGATCACAGTGTACATAGCAGTTTTAGATCCAGCATCCATCTAAATAGCAGTTTTAGACTCAGCATTCGTCTAAAATGCAATACTCTGATAATTTGGTTAAAGCAACTCCCCACTTCCCATAAATGCACAGTCAGGTCTCTCAATTTATAAATAAGCCTGATTTAACTTGGGCTTGTGAATAGACCTGGACACTGATTTGTTAAGTACTAAACGTGGAAAAAATGCCATGAAAATCGGTCACTTTTTAAACAGAACTAGTATTTTCATCCATTTAAATACCAGCCCGATGCTATGGCCTCCTCTCTGTGATCTTGTTAACACAGCCTCGGTGCTACCAGCTTGCCAGTGAAAACCTTCGGCTCTGATGGTCTACTTTTTCTGTGTTAGTCTCCCCCCTTGGTGTTTGCCTCATCGTATACATAACCCCATAAAGTGCTCCTTTCAGGCCTTGACAATTGCATTTGCACATACACTTAGAGCCAACAGGAAACCAAACCAAAGCGAGCTGAGACAGATTGTTGAGGCTGCTGTCGTGATCTGGCCTGTGGGAAGTTTCAGAAATGGATGGATGGAAAAGTAGTTCTTTGGCATCGGGGCGTCTTTCTGTTTGGAGTGTCAGTTGTGTGTTGCATGGCCACTCTAACTGTACTGCTCACTGGACATCTCATCTGGCCGCCTCCACCACATCTCCCACCTCTGAGCATCAGCAGATGTTGACCTTTTACACACCGAATCGCAAAATTCCAGCTTTGTTTTGTTTTGAAATCAGTGGTGACCTGAAAGGATGCTTTGTTGTGCCTTTGGAAAATGTTTTAATCTTCATTATCCCAAGCCTAGGAAAATTTAACTCCTAATAACCTAACAAAAACCCTCTGACCAACAATGATAGTTTAGCCCTTCCTTTCAATATTCCTCTGGCTGTTCTGCTGGGAGTACATTGGGTGTTTTCTCAGATTTCCAGCAAGCAGGATGTGAGAGCTCCCAGGGATAACTCAACATCACACATGATTAGCTTGCCTGTTGCCTGGCTTTTAAGGTAAAGAGATTTAAAATAAAACCATCAAATATGATTGTATCTTCTAGTGTGCTTTAATGGCATTTGTAAGTTCCTTCTTTGTGAGCTTATAAGGTGCGTGTTGTGTGCACTGTTTCCCCTCCAAAGGGCAAGAATTCACGCATAGATGACTCACTGCCTGTTCTAGAGAGCACAGGAATGGGGTTTTCAAGGTAGAAGCCAGAGAAGAGGAAACTGTTTGGATTTTTAACTAAGTCTGAGTGTTTGCCGGGGCTTTTTCTTTTACTCCAGAGAAGGAATCAGTGAGTATAAGATTTCACTAACTCTATAGGAAGATACCATTACAATAGATGTAACACCCATGAGACTTCAATCATCAAAGCCTATCTCAAAGAAAATAAACGATGTATATTATTGGCAGAAATGATTGATGTATGTAACCATAAGTTTACATACATATGCTATATACACAGTGACTAAAGGTTTGGAGCCCTAATAGATTTCAGTGTAGATCTCAAAATATCAATGCCTGTATTGAGGTTCAAAAGCCTGGACAGAGTGGTCATCCTTTCCGATCATCTGCTACAAATGTTTTTGAAACAAATTTCCCATTAAGGTCATTTGTACCTGCTGTTGTCTATCTATTAAGAAATAGGTTTCCCAATCATCCCAAGGGTACTTGATTTAAAACTCAGTCATTTTGATGTGCTTTGCCCATGGCTGAAAAAATATTGGTGATATTGTCAGCAATTAATGAATCCCAAAATAAATCTGTAGTCATTTGAGCCTTATGATCTATGTTTTTATTTTACCTGGTGTGGTAGTTAGTGATTCCGTTTTCATTTTTTAAATAAAATATAATATATACTTATAAGTAAGCATTCACAATTTTATCCAAGTGAACATTTGTTGCTATTGATAATCCAAATAAATAGTTGGCTTGGTGTGGGTGTTTTTGATTAAAGTGATAAACTGATTCTTACCTTCTAACATATATTATCTGATCTTTGGTCCTAAAAAGCAAATGATTTCACAAATTATGTTGAGCAGGATATTATAAGAAGCATAATTAGACCAGCAAGAATTGACCTAATGAGCAAATATATTTGTGTGAGTGATAATCACTTCTTAAAAAACCAGATGACAGATGAGTTAGAGGTTGAAAGTTGAACCATCCACAGCATAAAAGAACACATCAAGAAGGACCATTGCAAAACTCTTAAATAAATACAGACATTTCTTAGAATACCAGCAAAAGAAAAGAGAGATGCAAACAGGTTGTGCGTGATTATAGATTATTTCCTTCAATTACTTTCAAAGGATTGGCATGATGGTACATAAACCATAGCATATTGATGAAGGTGTTTGGCTGTTTTCCTCCCTTGCCTCCCCCAAATTATTCAATTTTAAACAGCAGCTCACTTAAGGGAAATATCCTGTTTTCTGTTTTCTTTTATAGTGAGCATTGCTTTCCTCCCAGAGTTAAAAATTCATCTCTAATTTGATTTAATTGGCAGGACTATTAAACAAGGGAAGTGCTACCTGCAGGGATCCATCAGCCTGTTGAGAAAGCCCAGAGATGTTTTCATACTTGAAAACATTTTATGCCAGTTGGAGACCTTGTAAAAGTTGTTTTCCATACAGCATCCAAATATTTTTATGCAGTACCAATTCATTGTAGAAACCTGGATTGTGAGTAAAATAACAAGGTTAATCATTTTCCCACCCAAGGGTTATTAATAATCGTGTTCATGCTATCCAGAGAGCTGCAATATTTGTTTGGTTTTCTCCCCCTTTTGCTTTAATACTTCTAAATCCTCCAAATAAAAGTTTCATTTGAATTGCCCTTTTAACTAATTAGGTTTTATTTAATGAGGAAAAAATGTATCAGGCTAGTGTAGCAAGATGGCAAATTGCATGGTATGCTACATTAATTTTGAACTGTTTGCTGATGTTCTAGAAGGAAAACTAAGGTCCCAGGAATGCCTTTGGGACTATTTTATCATGTACCCAGTATCCTCATCACAGAACCATTTCATATTTGTGTAACTAGCATTTCACGTTCATAAAACTTTGTGGTTATCCTAAAATTGAATGAACATTAGGACATAGCTGCCTCTTTAACCCTAAAGAACAAATCAAATATTCCAAAGGAGAAGAGGGATTCTCCTACAAGAATTTTTTAAAAATATGAGAGATTTGCCAACTTTATTGACAACAATTGCCTACTATGGAAAAATTAACTTTTTTATGTATTAACTTTTTCCAGGTGATTTTAGAATGTTGAGCCATTTTTTTTTTTAAGTGTGAGCTGATATCTCTGCCTTTGCTAGTTATCTTTGTGGGGTCAGGAAATTCCTAGCTTAAACAACAATTTGCCAAGATCTCCAAAAGTTTATATGATAAAACTTCAAACATGTGAACTGTGAATTTCTGCACTGTAGCAGTCACTTCAAGGGTATGAGTATACACTGAAGTTTTCTTGTACTATCAAAGGAGAGCTGTTCAACTAACCACCTCACTGCCTGGGAAAAGTGATTGTAGGGAGATGTGCCCATATGTCTACAGAATGCTATTTTACATGGGGACTCTGAAGGTTAGATTGGCCTTGTGATTTGCCCAACATAATACAGCCAGGAATGTCTATCTGATTCCAAAGTCTATGATTGTAACTTTATACTAAGTGGAAGAGATTATAAAAGAAAAATTCTAGATTTATTGACTGTTACCCTGGTCTCTTTCCAATCCACTACACTGCTCCCTAGAAGACCTATTGAATTGACCTATTTCTGTGCAGAGAACTGTAGCGTCCTGTAGAAAAACAGAAGTTTATTTTCTGGTACCTCACTATGTTGTCAACTGGAGACCTGGAATGTGCTCTTTCTCTACCGTCAAACATCCCTCACATATTTA